CAAAGTAATCAATGGAATCAGTCTGGCCAATCACAAGCTACACCGACAATCCAGTGAACCAGTCAAAACACGACGATACAAGCAGCTGACGCGAAGCGCTGGAAAACGAGTGCGAACGAGTCACGATTGGTTTTGATGTCACTTTTGAATGGATATAGCGCTTTTCAATTGAGTGTCGTAAAACCAAAAACCAAAGTAATCACTCTGGCCAATCACAAAGGACACAGACAATACAGTGAACCAATCAAAGCTCAAAGTAATTACATGAAGCTGAAGCAAAACGCGGGAAAACGTGTGTGAGCGCGTTACGATTAGTTTCGGTTTTACTTCTGAGTATATGACAAAGTGGTGCGAGTTTTAAGCCAATCTTTTAGCGTAGTAATGCAAAACCAGTCAGGGCAATGCGAGTTACTTTCGCCGGACACTCAACTAAAAGCCGCTCTATTTCCGGAAAAATACCGTATACTTACACGGTATTGTATTGGCAGCCTGTCAAAGTTTTTCGTGGTTTCGTGAAACAGTAGCTCAATCTTAGGATTGCCTATTTCCTTGCTGTTAATTCTGTCATCGTCTGAGGAGGTCTGAAGAGAGAGAAGAAATATCACATCGCATTAACGGCCCGTGCGGTAAGATACGGATCTCCGTTTTCCCCGTCGATTTATGGCCTAAACGCAAAGAGCGCGGGCAACATATCTACTGGGGAAAATCCAGGTTAAGTATAACTTACAGTATACACTGATAATCAGATATATGTATGGCGGGTCTCGGAATCTCCTCCAGAGTGAATTGCAGGAAAAGTGAGTTCGTCTGTGAATTCTTGAGTTGAGTATTCTTACTTCTGCACTTTTAAGCCTCTTGCTACAACTCATTGACATGTATCTTTTTAAACAGTTGATTTGGCCTATTCTATTACAGGCTCTCGCTTGGTTGGAGGCTTGCGAGAGTAAAAACGAAAAGAGACTGAGACAAGACAGGTCTTTTTGCTTTTCGCGTTACTCCCCCTTGGCTTTTTCTATGGTTCGCCTCCAACCAAAAGCCTGGAACAGCCTGGCTTCATCTTTAACCCGACACCATCCTAGTGGCTGGCACCTTAGTATTACTGGCGCCTCCCGTGAGTAGGTAACCCTTCCTGGAATAGGTCCCGAAAGGGTCTGGGTTCCAGCTGATGACAAAGAGTGGCAAGCAGCGTGTTCAAGGCACACAATCAGAACTTACATCTGCAAGCCTCTGATCATCTGTTTTGATCTCTAATCCATCCGTGTACGGCTGCAGAGCATCTTCTGTGAACACTTCCTTGTGTATCTGTAATCACGGTAAAACATGTGTAAAAAGCGCATCATCAGCGTTAATACGATTTAACCAGCAGTATTACAGAACTGAGTGAGAAACAAATAGAAATCTGATAAATGCCGTGTTTTGCGATTTCACTGATACTTGTTTTAGTGCTTTCTGGAAAGAAGCAAGAAACTTTAGAAGGGATACTGTAATAGGTCACGTTCGATATATCAATATTCTAACATGGCTCTGAGATATTCAGGACAAACTTCTATATTTGGGG